GTATGTCTCCCCATCAAACTGTAAGCTCAGTGAAGGCAAGGACAATGCCTGGTGTGCTCACGACATATCCCCCAGGACCTAGCTTGGTGTTTGGCCCACTACAGACCTTCAACAAATGTTTGCTGAATGAATGAATAACTGCTTTTTCCTTTCACTCTCCTTATTTTATCACATCCCTTTCATCAGCTCCTTGAAGACATCTCAAGGCTATAAGCAAAAATAATGAAAGAGAGAAGAAAGTCTTATAAAAAGGATGTCTAATCACTTTAAATGCCTAGGAAATAAGGCAACAACAGTACTTTAAATAATTAAAAATATAAAAATAATCAATTAGCCAAAGCTACCATCTCCCTTGGTGATCCCATCCATACTTAAGTTTTATCACTTTTTAAAAAATTCTTTAATGTTTATTATGAGAGAGAGAGAGAGAGAGAGAGAGAGAGAGAGAGAATGAATGGGGAGGGGGGTGGGCAGAGAGAGAGAGGGAGACACAGAATCCGAAGCGGGCTCCAGGCTCTGAGCTGTCAGCACAGAACCCAATGCAGGGCTCAAACTCACGAACCATGAGATCATGACCTGAGCCAAAGTTGGAAGCTTAACCGAGCCATCCAGGCGCCCTAAGTTCTATCACTTTGATGCAAATGACTCTTAGATATGTAGCACAGCCCTGATCTACCCCCAAACCCAATGTCAGCATTTTCATTTGTCATCTTGGCTTAGATATCCAACTGGAACTTGGAACTCTAAATGCCCAAAACCAAATCCATCACCTTTTCTCAATGTCACTTTGTTTAAGTTCCTTATTTCTATGACTATCACTGTGGCAATTACCATGCCATCCATGCTGGGAACTTTCTCTTCATTATGCATCTTCCTTTTTTTCTAGATCCACATCAGTCAGTGGCCAAGTCCTAAAGATTCCCACTCTAGAACCTTCCTCATCTCTTCCTTTCTACCTTCACTCCTTACATGAAAGCCAAGTCTTCGTTATGGAAACAAACTGGTCTCCTCCCTGCAATCCCACCTGTGTCCTGCAACCACTAATCAAAGCCTAAACGCATCTCTTGAATACACTGCTCCGCTTCTCAAAAACCTTCCAGAGAATTATGATGCAACTGGCCCATTGATTTTCAACATTTAACCAATATCCCCCACTTCTTTGTGTTTTAATTAATTAATTAATTAATTTCTTTTTGAGAGAGAGAGAGAGAGGGAGAGAGCACTCAAGTGAGTGAGGGGCAGAGAGAAAGAGAGAGAGAGGGAGAAAGTGTGGAGCCCGAAGTGGGGCCCGAGCTTACCTGCTGTGGGGCTTGAACTCACAAACCATGAGATCATGACTTCAGCCAAAGTCGGATGCTTAACTGACTGAGCCACCCAGGCGGCCAATGCCCCCCACTTCTGATTAACATAAAAATCTCCTATCCCTCCTGCACTGTTATTACTGAAACAACAGGGACTTTTTCCATTCCTTAAATGTAGAACTACGAGATTCAACGTGCTTCTTCAAACTCTGCTCACTATATTTCGAGCTCTGTTGTAAATCACTATGATCAGACCGTGGGCTCTCCAGGGGTAGGACGTGGGCCAGTACCCAGTACATGGTAGGCACTCAATAAATGTTTCTTAAGTAAAGTACTACACCATGACATTCAGGGTCATTCAAGATATAAACTCAATCCACTTTTCCATTTTATATCCTGCTACCCTCTACTTACACTTCACCAGCCAGATTCTCCAGTGGTTCTTAAAGCATGGTCCCAGGACCAGTAGCATCTGTCCCAGTAGGGATTCATGAGGAATGCAAATTCTCAGGCCCCACTCTATACCTACTGAATCACCAACTCTAAGGGTCGAGCCTCCTCGTTTGTGTTTTCACAGTGCTCCAAGTGATTCTAACGTATGCTAAAGTGTGATAATCACTGAACTGCACTATTGGCATACCTTTGAGATAATGAGGTTTGGTTCCAGACGACGGCAATAAAGCAAATGTCACAATGGAGCAAGTCAAATGAATCTGCTGGCTTCCCAGTGCATATAAAAGTTCTGTTAACACTATACTATAAAGTGTGCAATAGCATTACGCCTAAAGAAACATATACACAGCTTAGTTAAAAAAATACTTTATTGCTAAAAACTTTAACCATCCTCTGAGCTTTCAGTGAGTCATAATCACTGATCAGATCACTATAACAATGAGACTATAATAATGAAAGAGAACTATGATAAGACTTACAATAATGAAAAAGCGTGAAATATTGTGAGAATTACCAAAATGTGACAGAGTCGCCAAGTAAGCAAATGCCGTCGGAAAACGGGCACTGATGGACATGCCTGAGGTAGGGTTACCACAAACCTTTAACTCGGACAAAACACAGCATCTGAAGAGTGCAATGAAATAAAGCACAACAAAATGAGGTATGCCTGTATCCACCCTCAGATAAATGTCCATATAACTGAACTGAAATTTTGCCTCGTTTTGCATACACACTAGTTCAACTGGCGTTAGGAAATGCAAATGTATTCTTAGTAATGTCAATATCCTAAAGGCGTAAATTAACTAAAATTGTGCATATTTGGGGGAGTAAATCACGTATCATCTACGTCTCGGCATCAGAAGCTTATTACAAACTTTGCCATCTTGGGGGATCTTGAGAAAAGATGTCTCTTTTCAGTTTCAAAGTGAAAGGAGAAGCCTTACATTTAATGATTCCAATTTTCCAGAGTTGAAGGTAGGTACTTACTGATATTTATCTGGCCAATCATTAAGTATCAAAATCACATAATGGCTCCTGGGAGCCAGGTGAGACCTTTGGCTAACCTTGAAGGCAACGCAGACAAGCCAAGAGTTGCCCTGAACAGGCAGACTCTTATGTAGGAAGAAGTAAATTTAAGCTGGGGTGAGACAGAAGCTGGTTTTCTCAGGCTAAAAAGAATGTACCCATATTCCCAGGTAAAAGGAAAACCCCCAAACATGAAATTCAAGAAGTTATCAACTTGAAAAGTTAGTAGAACTATAAACTGTCCACTGTCTTAAAGGGAAAAAAAACCAAACATGTGTAACAAAACCCCCAATACTATACACATACTCTCACTCACACACACATAAAAATGGCTATGAGTGAGTGCGTGACGGTAGATACTGGTCATATTCATATAAATGGGATGCATTTTGGTCCCAGGATGATAACATCACCATAAAGACATGATTAGCAGCAAATTACCAAAATCTATAATCAGAGTATGTTGGGCTGGTTTTACATTTCCTAGGACAATTTTTCATTTTTCAGATAAGGACATAGCTATAGAGAGATTATATAACTTCCCCAAGATCATAGATTTGGGCAGTGGGAAAGCCTCTGTCTACTTATTCTTAGACCAGAGGCTCTCTTACAACATTACTCTTATGCCTACAGTTGAACTGAGACCTGCTGAAGAGAAACACAAAGGACAATACATTACATTTTCAGGCAATACCATTCGTTTTCATTAAATCTATTAGATTACTTACCAGGTGTATGAAGCATCTTTAGCATGTTCCTAACAAATTGCGATAAAGCCTACAGCCAGTTCAGGACAAAAAATAGGGCTTCAGTGTTATAAAACATCTTAAAATTTAGCTGGGTCATATAGATTTTATTTAAAAATGTAACAAGCAGGGGCTCCTGGGTGGCTCAGTCGATTAAGTGTCTGACTCTGGATTTCGGCTCAGGTCATGATCTCACAGTTCGTGAGTTTGAGCCCTCTGCTGGGCTCTGCACTGTCTAGGGATTCTCTTTCTCCCTCTCTCTCTCTCTCTCTCTCTGCCCCTCCCCCACTTGCACATGCGCTGTGTGAGCACACACGTGTGCTTGCTTACACTCTCTCCCTCTCTCTCAAAAATAAACATGAAAAAAATGTAACAAGAAATCTTAGTACACAAAATAGGCAGCTGAATCTTGCTCACATACACACCCTAAGATGGGCTAAGTAAACGATAAAGAAAAGTCTCGAGGAAGTTTTCATTGCTTTTGCTCTGCAACGCAAAACACATGCCGAGAAATGGACTGTTAGTTCTATAGCTGACCGTTTCCTTCCAAGCTCTGGTTTTGGTAACTCCCAGACACAACTATTAACCTTGTCGTTGATTTGAAAAATATAGGTCCCATCCCATTTCAACAATGAAATATCCAAAATCCAGTCCATACTCCAGTTATCTCATGTAGTAACTATAACACAACTTTTACACTGTAGAATTTTAGACCTGGGATGGGCTTCTGAGACCACGTAATCCAACACCATCGTTACAGAAAAAAAAAAAAGAACTAAGATTTTTGACAGACAGAACTTTAATACAACGAAACGTCTGACAATCCTTTGGAGTTACTATATACAGAGGTAGCCCGAAAGCTTCCTGAATGTTGTCAAAATTTAAATGAACATGTTACCCTACATATTTCTATCTTGTTTGAAATATTGTGAGTGTATATACCTCTTAAGAGGTTTCTGAAACTCAGAAAATTAAAAGAAAGTGAGATTTTGCTACTTAATTATCTTGAGGTTTTAAGAATAATAATTTTAAGAAGCGCTGAATAATCTGGTAAGAAAATTTCAGTAAAATTACTATGAAAACACATTACTATATACACAGGGTTTTTCGTCTAACATTCAAACATGCTCTCATTCATGACACAGACGGAAAAAAACAGATGAGAAAAGACAAAGTCTATATGCAGAGAATGCCTCTACTTTAAAGATTTCAAAAACACCAAACCTTTTAATAACATCTCAGTGAGAAATAACGTCTTGAACATTGTCCATATAGCTAAATAACCAAAGCCCAGAAAAGTAAAAACTGTAAAGCAGGGCCAAAAAATTAGTAATGGCCTTAAACTTAAGTCTCCATATTCTGAGATTTATATCTTACATAAAATTTCAAGAACTTCCTTTGCCAAAGGGGAGAAAAAGAAGAGTCCTTCCTATACCATAGTCACAACAACCTGTGCAAATACAGAGCCACTTACCTATTGTTGTTCCGACAATTTCGACAGCTAACGCGCTCCAGCGGGTCCGACTGAGGTACTGCTGTGTACCTCCCACCACCCTGGTCAGGAAGGAAGTGCAGGGAAAAAGAAAAAGAGAAAAGCGTGAAGGTGTCACAGACCAATAATCAAACAGCCTTAAATGTAAAAGCCGGCCCAATAACAAACAGTTTTACGCTATATTTTAACCAACCTCTGAGCAAAACGTTATGCTGATCGTTAGTTACCAATATTCACCAATGAATTCTGTACAATATTAAGACTATACCCTACAAGCTAATCGCCATGTTTTTCCCAAGTCTTTTTGTACTGGAAGGAGCCAAAGAAATGGAGACATTTAGTCACTTCCCCTTCAGGGTTTCAAATCTACTGGGCCCAAAATACACTGTACATTACAACCTCCTATTCATTTTTACTTTTCTAGCAGTCATGGAAGAATTTTACGTGATGCCAGTTGGAGAAACAGGGTGGAAATCTGTTTGAATGATGTCACAAGATAAACCCATCTTCATTTTCCTGTAATTATTTCGATTAGGTCTGTTCACTTGACTACACTAAGTTTTCAAACATGTTATATTTTTCCAGATGGAGTAGATTCTCAGCCAGCAATGACTTGGAGGGGAGGATTAATATTTTGATGTTGCTTTTGGCGGAAACTGCCTGGCAATTAAGAAAAATGCCCAGATTAACACATACCTCATTGTAAAACACTCGCTTGACATATACAATGGCAAGAGTTCTTCCAAACTGGGTGTTGGGAACTGAAGCAGGCTTACGGTCAGAGTAAAAATTCTGCTTTCAGACGAAAAACAGCAGAACCGAATTTGATAAGGGTGGGAGAGGCTGTCACACTGCACCCAAACCCAGGGCAGTTCTGAAGGTTAAGGAAAGTTCAGGCCATTGTTTTTCCCAGAATACTTTCCATTTCCATTCATCTCATAACAACGGCCAGAATCTAAGCAAACCAAAAGTACTGAAAATGTCTCCCCACATTCCTGATTCAACTAGCAACAGGAATTTTTGGGAAAACATTGAGAGAAAGAATATCCTCTGCCACATTCAGATCATGAGCATAAGCTCCAAAGCTTCACAAGATCAAGTTCACCTACGGGGTAATGTGCTTATTTGAGTCACTAAACACATCAAAGTTAATTCAATGATTTTTATGATCACCAGCGTTTTTAAAAATTTCCCTATTTCCTCCCACCCAGAAAAGAGGTGTAAGAAAACTAATACGTGAAAACCACAGATGTTAGCCTCTAAAGGATTAGTACACCTAAAGGAGCAACTATTATTTAAACAGAATTTCGCCATTCAGAAAAACCCGAACTCCTGCGTCCGAATCCTAAACCAAACATCAGACTTATTCTTTTCTGCTTATGGAAACAGCATATGCTATTCAAACTTTAATGCTCTCTCCTTTAGTTTCCTGGACAATGTTACTAGCTTGGACTAGGAGTGGAGACCAAAAAAAGTTTAGAAAGTCTGAATATAAGCCATGTCTTTCCCCACAAAATAATGAAATCACTATTCTCTTTTGATAAGGAGATGCACTCAATCGAGGTATTTTTCTACAACACATTAAAACTAGATCACACGAAAACCCAGCAGATGTCCAGCTTTAAGATACGAATATATATTACAGTTTTATTCTCCAAATGTAATATTTTAATAAGTCTTTGTTGAGTTGAGGGTGAAAAAATACCTCTAAACTCCCTTCAAATTTTAGCACATTGTGGGTTATGGCAAGTTTATCTGTAATCAGAACAATGACAAAAATGTCAGTGAGTGCTTAATTTGATCAACTAAACATATTATCTATTTGAAAAATAATGTGGATGCACATACATCCTAACGACATCATAAATCAAACTTCCTAATGCAGAGAACCTCTTTAACCAGCATAAATGCGAAATAAGCTAGTTACTCTAGTCCCGTTTCAAAAATTAAACTAGATCACTAAGTTATCCCTGAAATAAAGTATTTTTAAAGGTCCATCACTCCTTGTGGCTAAAGGATGGTAATATTATAAAAGGCAAAAATCTTACAGGTAACGGCCCTACCACACATCAGACACAAGAGACAAAAGAAACTCATTATAGGTCAGAAGTCACAATCTGGTGGCCTGCAGACATGTTCCACGTGGCCTACGCACTACTTTCAAAAATTGGAATTAGTTGCCAACGTGTAAAAAATCTCGCCATTTCACCTGGATTTACAAGATGTTTTGGAAAAATCAGAAAACCGGTAACCCCAGGCCCTCTGTCCGTGCCAACAACAGGAGTGAACTGCAGCTGGTGTTCTCCAGATTGCTCCCGCCTCCAACTGCTCTCTTTCCCAGCTTGCTTCACGCAGTTTCACGATCTGCCTGACTCCCCTGGGCCTGCGAGTTTTCAGATTTTGCTCTAAATGAAGCAAATTTAAAGTCTCAGGTCCAATCTATGCCCTGTGGTATTTCCAGCTCTCAAGAATAACTTCCGGCAAGTTCGTTACTGGTATTCCACTTTCACCATGAAAGAATTTTAAAATATAAACCAAACTGATGAACATAACTATCACCTGACAACAGAAAGTTTACACAGATTACTCTGGATTAAGGGGTTGCCACTGATACATACTATTTCCAGTCCAGTGAGCCTGTAAGGTTTCTATGGTCACAAAGGCCAAGTAGGCCAACCATGTTATTGCACCCTGGTACCGTGGGGCCCAGGGAGGATTTATTTATTTGTCTGTTTGTTTGTTTATTTATTTACAAAATTTTAAATGTTTATTTTTGAGAGAGAGAGAGAGAGAGAGAGAGAGAGAGAGAGAGAGAGAGACTGAGCGAGCAGGGGAGGGGCAGAGAGAGAAAGGGAGAAACAGAATCTGAAGCAGGCTCTAGGCTCTGAGCTGTCAGCACAGAGTCTGACGTGGGGCTCAAAACACGAACTGTGAGATCATGACCTGAGCCAAACTCAGATGCTTAACCGACTGAGCCATCCAGATGCCCAGGGAGGCTTTATTTATAATTAGGTCTCTTACATTTACTAGGTGACGAGGATGTTCAAAATCCACATGCGTCCTGGTTAGTGAGCTTGTGTGTCCCGCGTAAAGCCCTCCATTTAAGTTCCCATTCATGACTCCATTGACTCCATTAGAGATCTTATGGTGAACATGGGAGCAGCCATTGCTGAGACCTCCATTACTTATGAAGCTTCCATGAACATTCCCATTTATCCGATTTGTGCCAGGCAGAGTAGTGTATTCCACCATCTGCCCATTAATATCTGACCCTTGGTAGAGATATCCTGGAGGGTCATATTCTGTTAAAAGAGAAGAAGCAAAACAAAACAAAATGAAACAAACAAAAAAACCAAAAACACACAACAGTAAGACACTAAAAAAGACAATCTTCTTGGGTAGGCAGTTTGATTAATGAAACAAACCCCTAAGAAACTATAAATACAAGAAAATAAAATGCCCTAAAGATGTTCACTGTGTTCACTTAACGCCTAATTATGAGATATGCTTTGAGAAAGTTATTGCTATTTCCTTGTAAGGAGATAGCTAGGAACTTTGAGTTAATTAAGACTCTGTTAATGGGAAAAGAAATTAACCAGAGAGAAATTACTCAAAAGAATTAATAAATTATGTAAGTTGAAACTATCAAAGTCCTGGCAACACTAAGAAAAAGTGTTTAAACTCCCTTACGCTTCAAAGTGCCGAGAGAAACCATATAAAAAAACAACAAAAGACAGGGCGCCTGGGTGGCTCGGTCGGTTAAGCGTCCAACTTCGGCTCAGGTCATGATCTCACGGTTTGTGAGTTCGAGCCCCACGTCGGGCTCTGTGCTGAGAGCCTAGAGCCTGCTTTGGATTCTGTGTCCCCCCCTCTCTCTGCCCCTCCCCTGCTTATTCTCTCTCTCTCTCTCTCTCTCTC